TTAATGGTTTACATTTTGAGCAAATGTCCAATATTTTAAACATTAATATATGTACATATATATTATTGACTATTACTATAGACCGCTTAAATGGAATCACTAACTCCGTTGTTTTTAGAAGCATGGATAGTTTATTATTAAAAATTATTTAGTACTAACTAAGGTGATAATATGATAATGAATAATAGTGTTTTTTATAGAAAGAGTAAAATTACTTCGAGGGCTCTAAGATTCACTTTTTTCTCACTCAAGTGCAATAATATATTCTTTGCGTCATTAATGCAGCTTGCGTCGATGCAACTCGAAAACATAAAAAAAAATTAACCTATGTACTTCGAGAAATTATTAGTTTATTGTATGAAAAACAAGAAGAAACAGGAATAGTATTCTTGTATTCATACTTATACATACATGTAGTCCTCGTCTCTTGTACATTTTTTACAGATTTTATAAAATTAAAGTTAAAATATCTTTTAAAGTACAAGTTTTTCGACATACATAGATCAATACTATTTTATGAGGAATATCGAAATGCATCGATTAGTAGATAAAAAATATATTATTATGACTAAGAAAGTGGAAATGATTTTAAAATCTTCGAAACCTCTCTATCTGCACAAGAAATCATTACTGTTATATTTATGGCCTCTTCAGTATTGAATAACTTCAATAAAGTTTATCTGTATTTCTAAAAACAACAGAGTTACTTAGTTACTTATTTTAAATGAATCATTCTGTATACATATTTAGTTGTTTATCTTCCTATTTCTACATTGTTCTGCCATTTAATTTAGCTCTGTACAGTATCTGGATGTAAATTGTTAGCGAAAATTTCACACTTTTTAAAATGTTTCTTATAACATTAAGGTCAAAATTTCGATCTAATCTAATCTAATAGATAAAATTAAGCATTATTGTATAAAAAACAACAAAGTTAGTTAGTTACTTATTTTAAATGAATCACTCTGTATACATATTTAGTTGTTTATCTTCCTATTTCTACATTGTTCTGCCATTTAATTTAGCTCTGTACAGTATCTGGATGTAAATTGTTAGCGAAAATTTCACACTTTTTAAAATGTTTCTTATAACATTAATTATAACTAATCAAAATAGATAAAATTAAGCATTATTGTATAAGTTGCGGTGTAAGTACTCTTCTTATTTTTTCCCAGGTATTGAATCATTAACTAACTTAACGATGCACAAAAATCGTTATTCTATTTAAAGCGAAAAATGAATGAAACTTTACTACTATCTGAATCCACGTCGACAATTAGTTGCAAATATTTAGTTGCGTTTCCCTCGGACGATTGCGTGTAAAAAAAAAAAAAAAGTGAAAATAAGAAAAACGTGAAAGTCATAGAAAGCATTACTATTTATACTTTATTCTAAAATGAATAGAAAGTGTAATCGAATATAATATAACGAATATGAAAATATACCATCATGCTACCTTCTTCGAAAGATTATAGTTACATACAATCTTGTTTCTTCGCAGATTGATTTTACAAATTTAACTCTTACCAATTATTTATTTAACAAGCTTATCAGTTTTATAATCGACGCTAATATTATTTCAATTTGTTGAAGGCATTAATTTTCTTCAATATATTGTTCTATATGTATTTTTTCTATATATCTTAATAATTCACTCTGCCACTAAATCTATTTTCATTTGCTGTGTTAAATAATTCATTTTCTCCGTGAATCTTGTACAAAAATAGAGAATTCTTTTTCCGAGCTGAATTTTTAATATGAAAATTCCCGAATTACTAAATATAAGCTCTAAATACAGCATATCATGTATAATGTAAAATATTAATGATGACAGTAGAACGTTAATAAATACTTTATTATTGAAACGTATTAATTAATTATCAAATTTACGACATGATTGATTTTTAATGAAACGTATCAATTAATTTAATAATTAAAAAGAAATATTCTACTATAAAATTACGGAAATAGTTGAACTAACAGAACTTTATAAACAGATAATTCATACATTTTATTATGCATTGAATATTTATGACATGCAATATGATCGATTATAATTATAAAAAAATATGAAAGTAATGAATTATACATTTATAACATATTACAAGGCTGATTATAATTCTAAAATAATGTAGAAATAAAATGAATGAATAAATCAAATGGCAAATTAAAACGTAAAAGATTAAAAGAGAAATAAAAGGCTACGATGTAGTGTTATAGCGTTTCGGTAAAAAACTGTTCAACTGATGAAAGAGACAATTTTAACAAGATACATATTATTGATAGATATTGTTTTATCAACAATAGCAACAAATATGAACAGGCATACCTTATTAAAGTGCATGTAGCAACTCGATGATACTCTTGATGTATTACGCACGTGGTTCTGTATCGCATATATATATATATATATATATATATAT